TGGGTGGACGCTGTATAAGCATTTCAGGTTTAATTCAAATATGGTTCTATAAGCAAAGTGTTTTCCTTCTTTTTTTGAGCTGAGGGTCGCCAGGTACTCCTTAGCAACCGGCAGCGGGGGGACTTACCAGCGACAAGGGAGGCCTAGTTTGGCATTTTCAGGCATGTGGCCAGTCATGTGATGACATTACTTCTGGGTCATGCAGGAAGTGACATTGCTGCATCACCTTCAACATGGCTGGAATGCAGCGTTAGATAGGGTGTAAACTACAGGGGGCAGTGGGGCTTCAGGTCTCCTGGATTTCTTGGATGGGGCAGTGCCCCCCAAGCTGCCAGGAAGGGTTACCGCCCCCGCCCCCAGCCACCAGCAGGGGATGGAGGAGTAAGGTTCCCAGATCCTGGTTAGGAAACTCCTGGAGATTTAGGGAAGGATTGTAGGGAGGACAACGACCTCAGTGGAGTACAATGCCGTAGAGTCCACCCTCCAAAGCAACTGTTTTCTCCAGGGGAACTGAACTTTGTAGTCTGGAGATGAGCTGTAATTCCAGGGGATCCCCAGTTCTCCCCGGAGGCTAGCATCCTTAGGTAGCGTTATGAAGCTGCTTAGGCTTCAACGGTGCAGTCTCATCCTCTCCATGCACACAAAGGCTGGCACCTCCATTAAGTGGTTAAGTGCACGGATTCCAATCTGGGAGAACTGGGTTTGATCCTTTTCTGCACTTTTTCCAAAGCTATAATATCCTTTTTAAGGTGTGGTGCCCAGAACTGCACACAGTATTCCAAATGAGGTCTCACCATTGATTTATATAGGGGCATTATTATATTGGCTGATCTGTTTTCAATACCCTTCCTAATAATCCCCAGCATAGCATTGGCCTTCTTTATTGCAGTCACACACTGTCTCGACATTTTCAGTGAGTTATCTACTACAACTCCAAGATCTCTCTCTTGCTCAGTCTCTGCCAGTTCAGACCCCATCAATGTGTATTTATATTTAGGATTTTTGGCTCCAATGTGCATCACCTTGCACTTGGCCACATTGAACCCCATTTGCCATGTTGACGCCCACTCGCCCATCCTTGACAGATCCCCTTGGAGTGCCTCACAATCCTCACTGGTTTTCACCACCCTGAACAACTTTGTATCATCCGCAAATTTAGCCACTTCACTGCTAAATTGAAGTGGAAATGATTTGGAAAATATTTGGAAAATATTTGGAAAATATTTGAACACCTTGTTTTAAAATATTTTATTCATCATGTTAAAATAAAACGTTCCATAATCAATTTTTTTCTTTTCTTTTTTCAATTTTTCCAATTTTTCGGAAAAAAACAAAAAGGCTTCAGGAAAAAAAATGGAAAAAAACTGTTTTTTCCCCGGTTTTTTCCGGGCCTTCACATCTCTAGGGAAAACCTGGGCCCTTTTGTATGCGGCCGTCCGCTTTGCCACTCAACTTCCTCTTCCTTCGGAAGCCTTCAGGGGCCACTTGGGTAGTTGGGAAGCTGATGTGATACTCAAAATAGGCAGGGACTTTATTCATCTTGCAGAATTCCCAGTGCCACTTCTACCAAAGCCTTCCGTGAAGCTAGATTAGGGTGGATGGCCGTGTTGATCTGAAGCAATGGAACAATGCTTGAGTCCAGCGGCACCTTTAAGAGGGACAAAGTTTTATTCTGGGTATAAGCTTTCGTGTGCAAGCACACTTAGACTCACAGAATCATAGAGTTGGAAGGGATCTCCAAAGTCATCTAGTCCAGGCCCCTGCCCAGTGCGGGAAATTCACAAATACTTCTTCAGAGTGTGCATGCACACAAAAAGCTTCTTCCCAGAATTAAGCTGTGTCAGTCTTTAAGGTGCCACTGAGCTCAGACTTCATCTTACCGAAGTCTGGTCACTTCCATCCGTGCCCTCTCATTACTTCCTGTCCTGCAAGTCTTCTTTTGTTGTTGTTGAGGATGATTTATAGCACGGGAGTTTTATTTTTAAAAATGACCAGCTAAACAATTTGCGTAAGCACAAACATGATTGCTTGAAAGTGTGTGTTGTGTTGCAGATGTTCCTTGTCGCCAGACTCCCCGTTCCTCCGTCGTCCCTCTTTGGTCTCCCAGTTCCCTGTTTATCACTGTGTGGCTCTCTGCTGCCCTCCAGTGTGCTCACTGGTTTATAACGTGCATGTTGTCCGTAAGCTAAAAGTGACATTTTGAGCTCCACCAGATGTTTGAGGCAGTGTTTTTGTTTCTTTTTTCAGTGACTGCTTCAGACTTAGGGAAGCAGCATAATTCTTCCCAAGCAGATGGCCATTTATCAATTAAAAACACCTTCTGCAGATCATGTAAGACAGTTGCATCTACTTAAATCGAGATGGGTAGCCCCGTTAGTCTGTCTGTAGCAGTAGAAAAGAGCATGAGTCCAGTATAGCAAGATTTGTGGCAGGCTAGGAGCATTCTTGAGGCAAGGCTCACTTCTTCAGCTGCCCATGAAAGCTCATACCCTGCCACAATTTTTTTTTTAGTCTTTAAGATGCTACTGGACTCTCGCTCTTTTTTGAGGGGGGGGGAGAGGAGCTCGAAATGGAAGGCGGGAGAGGTACCTCTTTCTTCCTAATACAAGTTCACCCCTCTCCCTACTCCATGTTTGCGCCTATCGAGTATCAAGCACGCTGCCACATCACAAGCAGTGTTCCCTCTCAGCTGAGTTAGTGCGAGCTAGCTCAGTGTTTTAGCCTCCAGCTCACACATTTTTGTCTTCGCTCAGGAAGGAGGGCTGGAGAGCGAACTATCTGACGCAGTAGCCAAATCGCTCGCTCACAACTATTAATGCCAGTAGCTCACAAAGTAGGATTTTTGCTCACAAGACTCCACAGCTTAGAGGGAGCCTTGATCACAAGGACATTTCCAGAGTATGACTAAGATCTGTATACATCCCAAGGCACATTTCCAAGCAAGCAAATCCTACTAGACTTGATAGGATTTGACTGTTTGGACGTACAGGCAAAGACCCATCGAGCAACAGGAGTTTCTGCCAAAGAAGTAGACTTAAACATTCAGTATTAATTAAATCAGAACAGGGATTTCTACTTTTCCGTCACGAGGTTGAAGCTTGTGGCTATGCAATCGCAGCACATCTGCATGGCTCTTCCCTCCAGAAGTTACTCTCTACAGTGCAGCTTATCTGTTTTATTACTTCTCCAGGGAGAAACCTAGCCGTTTTTCAAGAGGTTATCTGCAAAACATGAGCTGCCATAGACTCCAATACAAAACCTTGTCCTTCCTTTCTCTCCAAATAGTTGAGCCAGTGTTAGCCATCCTAAAGGCGTCTAAGACCTCCTCCATCTTTAGCAAGGACTATAGATTTTAAATATTCTCTTCAGGGGTCATTTCGTAGAAAAAGAGCTAGGGGGACTCATTAGCATAACTCATTAGCATGCCAGTGTTAGCCATCCTAAAGGCGTCTAAGACCTCCTCCATCTTTAGCAAGGACTATAAATTTTAAATATTCTCTTTGTCTCAGAACCAGTTGCCCAGTGTTTAGAGCCAAGAGGCTTTTAAAGGTATCCTTTACTGCAAAGTCAGGGCCAGTAAACTTTACAAGTTTCTATCCATTATCATGGCTGAACTGGATATTGCAGAGTTACCATCAGGGGTCGTTTCATAGAAAAAGAGCTAGGGGAACTCATTAGCATAACTCAATAGCATATGCCACACCCCCTGACATCAGGGGCCCGGCAGTGGACCTGCAAGGCCGGCGGGAGTGCAAGGAAGCCCCGCGAAGGCCCTCCCTGGCCCCAGGCAAGCAGGGGTGGGGAGAGGCAGGATGGAAGCAACTTACCCTCCCTCTTCTCCTGCCTCCTCCTGGCTGAATGAGGGCCGGAAGCGGGGCGGCTGGAAGCAGGGGGTGGGGCTTCGTCATCTGCCCCACCCCCCGTACCTCACCCGGGGGAACTGCGATCCCCCTGCGATGCCCTTGAAATGACCTCTGGTTACCATGTCAAAGTTCATCATGCAGAGCACATTAGGCGCAACAGGGCCAGTTTGGTGTAGTGGTTAAGTGCGCGGACTCTAATCTGGGACAGCTGGGTTTGATTCCCCAACTCCTTCACATGCAGCTGCTGGTGTGACCTTGGGTCAGTCACAAGTTCTCTCGGAGCTTTTCTCTCAAGAGCAGTTCTCAAAAGAACTCCCTCAGCCCCACCTACCTCACAGGGTGCCAGTTGTGGGGAGAGGAAGGGAAAGGGATCGTAAGCCACTCTGAGACTCCGAGTGAAGGGCAGGGCGTAAATCCAATCTCCTCCTCCTCTTTTCCTTGTCCTCTTCCTCCTCCTCTTCCTCCCTTGCCTAGTTGCCCGCAGAAGTGTCAGAATTCCAAAGGTGCCCACAAGCTCAAAAAGGTTTGGAGCCCATGATTTATGCTCTGTTTTAGCCTTCTTCTGACCTACACTTGGCTCTGGTTTCTAATGGAAGTCAGGTGTAGCATTGGAGAGGACTTAGCGCAAGTTATTCTGAGTACAGGATGCAGAGTCCCACCCTGCCAATTTTGGCATATCTCTACCTGGTGGAACAGAATAGCTCCATATCAGCCACAGCAACACGCTCAAATTGTTCCTTTGAACAACAAGATAAAAACATCTTTAGTGCACCATAATCACATTTATTCTGGATCAGAGTCAGGCTTTAACGATACACTGGCTATACACTCGCATTGCGGCTATACATTTTTAAACACTACCGAAATTGCAAGGACAAGATGAGTCAGTTCAGCTGTTTTGCTTGTCAAGTCTGATACCCCCCAGGGAGAGATCAATGACTTAGCAGCTAATTTTCTATCATTATTGAACCTCTCCATCCCCGGGCACGTATTCTGGAAGACAGGAAAGCTCCAGGGCATAGCTGAAGTTATGTTTTCGGCTTAGCAATGTTATTTCTCCAATCTATGTAAATCCAGGCTCAGGTACTTTCCCTTTCCTAAATCCCAACCAGAAAGACACACACTGGAAACTCAAGATCACAGATTTTCCTTTTGTTCCGGTGCCTTTAAGGCCTTTCCTTCCCTATCATCGGGTTTTGTGTGCTCTGCAACATTTCCTGGTTTCTCCAGTCCAGGAGCAAGCGGCCCTACAAGCCAAGACAAGGGAGTGTTATTGACCACGTATTCCAGAACCTCCTCTACATAGTCCTGGGCCTTCAGGGTCTTCTCTTGGCCTTGACTTAGTCTGATGCTCGAGAGGTCATGGAAAGACTGAGCAGTGGTGAAGTAAGCATGGAGCTCCTCCACGCTATGATATGCCTGTTGCACATTATGCTGGAGGCTGCTCGGGAGGCCTTGGATGTTGGTAATCAGGTTCTTGAATGCCATCTTCAACTGATCAGTGATGCGGGAAGACATGTCCAAGGTGTGACTTTCTATCTGTGGTGAAGAAAAGTGTTGTCTAGGGTTGCCATTTCCCCGATGGGGGTGGGGCTTCCTCCCACCAGCCTGCTCCCAGACCAATAATGTCACCCGGAAGTTACGTCATTGCACCGGGTACGTCGTGCGAGGGACACTCTAGTGTTCAGCAAAAAACTCTATGGTGACCATAGAGTTTTTGGATGAACGCTAGAGTTTCCCCCCCACACTGTGCCTAGCATGATGACATCACTTCCAGAAGATCCAGGAGAGGAGCCTGGAGCCCCCCTGCTGGCCAAAGGTAGGGACCTGGCAACACGAGTACCTTCAAGCACCACTACCTCCCACCTCTCTTTTTGGCCTCCTTCCTGGACTGCAGTCCAGCCATACCTGAGACAGCTTCTCCTGGCCTTCCTGGACAACATCTTCTTTTGTATGCTCTATCTAGAGATAAACAAGAGCTACTTTTTAGAGCACTTCAAGTATACTGTCGATGTTTCCGGCTATAATGACAAAACAAAGGTGTGCTAACAGATATGACAATAGGTACTAGAAAAAGATAGCTATGATTTAGGGTTGCCAGGTCCCACCCAGGCCACCAGTGGGCAATGGGGAGGTTGGGTTACCAGATCCAGATTGGGAAACTCCTGAGGATTTAGGGATGGAGCCTGGGGAGGACAGGGACCACAGTGGGGTACCATGCTGTGATTCCATTCTACCCACCCCTTCAAGATACCGTTTAGTTGATCTTTCACCACATGATCTAGCTGCACACCCAGTTTATTTACTCCTGATAGTCTGTTTTTGCGTGTTTATACATATGAGTGTACAAAAACGAGCCAGCCATGATCCAAGAAATCTTCCTGTCTTTGGTCTATCCAAGACCTCCCCAGGTCAACAATCTTAAGTCCTCAGATGCTAAATTGGAAATGCATTTAAGGCATAACTGTAGTGGCCATTTTGTATTTTTCTACGAAATGACCCCTGCTTGGTAGGTGCCTGGAAAGGTAGCATTGGGCACCATGGTGGCCCATGGCTTATCCAGTGTTGGTTTCTGGATATAAGTGTTCTGGGGGCTGCCTAGGGAGGCCCCATAGGAGTTGAGGCCCTTTACTTTTGGCCCTAATGACACTGCTTCTTTCACCACATGATCTAGCTGCACACCCAGTTTATTTACTCCTGATAGTCTGTTTTTGCGTGTTTATACATATGAGTGTACAAAAACGAGCCAGCCATGATCCAAGAAATCTTCCTGTCTTTGGTCTATCCAAGACCTCCCCAGGTCAACAATCTTAAGTCCTCAGATGCTAAATTGGAAATGCATTTAAGGCATAACTGTAGTGGCCATTTTGTAGCTGGCCCCATGTTCTTCGGCAGCCATTTTTGTGGCGGCACCCACCATACTGTGTCAGAATGCCAAAGGTGCCTGCAGGTTCAAAATGGTTGGGGAACCTCAGCCTAAGGTTTCAACGTAGCGGTGAAAATCCCATTTCTTAAAAATAGATAAAGCTTATGGGTACAGCCAGGGCTTTTTTTTTGTAGAAAAAGCCCAGCAGGAACTCATTAGCATAATAGGCCACACCCAACAGCAGAAACTCATTGGCACATTAGGCCACACCCCTGACAGTGCAGCTCATTAGCCTATTAGGCCACACCCCATGCCTTCCCTTGGCTTGCCTGGGTGCTCCGGGCAAGCCGGCCCTTGAACAGGCCGGGGAAGGCACGGTGAGGCATTTAAATGCCTCCCCGATCCTTCCATGGCCCCTTGGAGTCGCTGGGGGGTTTGCTCTCCAGGCCTTCCCTCTGTAGCCACACACGCAGAGAAAGTTTTGGCTGTAGTGGGCGTGGCCAACTCTGAAGCCAGCCGGAACTCCGTTCCCGTGCGTTCCTGCCCAAAAACAGCCCTGAGTACAGCACAATTTCACATTGCAGTCTTATCAAAAGTAGGCAGCCTTTTCTATCCTTGCAACTTGCAGTAGAAACCAGTGATGCTGATTGAACTGCAAGCTTAAGGGAATCTTAGAAGGGAAAAAAAAAGCTATATGTTGCTGGCCAAAAAAGACAGCATGGAGGAATACAGCATAGTGTAGAAATAAGCAACGACCCTACCTGCCCGATGTACTGATGCAGCTGAGAGAAAGCCTCTCTGATGTTATCCCTAGCCGTTTTCACCTTAACTACAGCATGCTGGTAGGCACGGTGACGGAGCTTACTCGACAGGGAGCCCAGACGGACAAAGTAGCCAGGAGGCTCGGCAGCTGCGTCCACTCCGGCTGGTGCAGGCTCTGCAAGCTCAGCTAGAAAAATAAAGTGATCAACTCATACTTGGAACAAAGATGTAGGTGCCCAGTTGCAGGAGGACTCTCTGACTTGGGGACTGGACAGAGTAGAAGCCTGGGAAATCATATCACGGACCAAATCCAACAAGAGGTGGACTCATGAGTATTCCTGGAGGAGAAACTACCTTCTCCGTGCTCCCACCCCACCCCAAGGCTGCTGCTGTTGCCACCATGGCATTTTGTGGTGCCAAGGCAACCGTTCAGTGACCAGGCCTCCATCTCACATTGTTCGTACAATCAGCTGTAGGTTTTGTTGCCCTCTGACAACCCATGTACAGCAGATTCCATACAAAAAGAGCACATGGCTGAGGTCTCGTCATTGTGAGGTGTCTTGGCAGCAACAGCAGTTTCATGAGACTTTGGTTCCATGAGATCTTGGTTCCTTTTTTTGACATCTGAGCATGATGTTGCTCTTTTCTAAGTTCAGGCCACTTCTTTTTTTGACATTTTTAATGCAATTTTATTGAAGAAAGAATTCCATAGCTTTACAACATCACCAAAATCAATTAATAATAACAATAATAAAACTTCACATGCTTGCTTTATCTTCATATCTTCTTCTTTGTCTTCCTACTTCTTTCTTCTCCCACAATTATCACTAAGTATTATTTATAGAATTCCTAGCAATCTTAGCTCCTCATACTAATTTACAATATATTAACAAGTTCAGTCCACTTCTTAATAGAACAGTTTCCCACATACACACTGGGTTTGCACAGATGTACTGTACACCGTAGCCCTGTCATGTGGATTTTTCAGTCCACACAGGGCCATTGGACACACATTGGTACTTTCTTACCCAGCTCTTCACCCGCCACTGGGAGGTAGTGGTCCAGCAACTCCTCGGACTTCTCCAGCATGGCTTCCGCTCCACTCAAGGCCATCTTACCCATCCTCGTGTCTACCACCATTTCCTTGCCATTCTGTACAGCCTTGGTGACAGCTTCTCTGGCATCAGCTACTTTTGACAGCACCAGCTTTTGTGTATCAGAAATAACCTAAAAAACATACACACCAGTCTAACCATTACCAGGTCAGGCGGGCTACTGGAGGCTCTGCCCCCTTCCTTAAAGAGCCCCCGCTTCTTCTCAAAAGCATTTAAAGCAATCCTTTGAATGCTCTTGAGAAGAAGCAGGGCGGGTAGTGCGCACCCCTCTCCCTCCCCTCCTGCAAGAGTTAAAGGGCCCTCCAGCTGATCAGCAGGGAGCACGTGGCCCCTGGAGGACCCTTTAAATCTCGCAGGAGGGGAGGGAGGGGCGCACACCATCACCCCTTCATCTCAAAAGCACGCAAAGGGATCCTGTAAATGCTTTCGAGAAGAAGTGGGGATGGTGTGCGCCCATCTCCCTCCCTCCGGCAAGATTTAAAAGGCCCTCCAGCTGATTGGTGGGCCACTTGCTCCCGGTTGACCAGCTGAAGGGCCCTTTAACTCTTGCAGGAGGAGAGGGGGAGGGGCGCCTGCCACCCCCCTTTATTATGGCAAATGATGGCAGCCCCACCAGAAAAAAAAAATTGCCCCACAAACCACAAAATCCTGGCTACAAGCCTGCAGGCTAGAGCAGCCAAGCATACAGCTGAGCAATGGTTTCTCCACCACTCAGAGTGACCCCACATTTCACTTACGGTCCCTTTATTTTAGCAAGCAGGTGCATGACAAACATCAGCCCTGGCTCCTTACTCAGTAGGTAAACCAGTTCCCCTAAATAAGCAATACCTATTGGTTGAGCTCTTTCCGTTGCTGTGAGCTACCCCCCCCCCACTTTAAGTCCTTTGTTAGGATCTTACATGGCAGCAACTGACCTGGAGGAGATTGCTTAGTGGAAAGTGGGAATGAAATGTTCAGCAGTAATGAAAAGCAAGCTCTACGCAAGGGGTTATTAATAAGGGAATAAACACCAAACGGGCAGTGTTGTAACGCCCTTGCATAGCTCTGGGGTTCAGATGCACTCAGAAAACTGCACAAAAAGGTTTATGGTACATGAGATTATGTATTCTTGCATTTTAATCTAGTACGCAACACTGTGGCCATTTCTAAGCAGACATACACCACACTGAACCAGGGGTCATTTCGTAGAAAAAGAGCCGCAGGAGTTCATTAGCATAATAGCTCATTAGCATATGCCACACCCCCTGACATCACCGGAAGTGATGTCAGAAAGTGAAGCAAAAAGGGGGGAAGGCATCTTCAAAAGCCTCCCCTTCCCTTCCCCAGCTGGCCTGCCAAGGTAGGCTGGGGGGGGGGGA